TTTTTTTTATTAACACCCACCAATGAATATAGAACATCAAAATTATTGAGTGTCTTCAAAATATGAAACAAAATTTCTTCAGACAAATCAACAATGTTAACAGATGGCTGATTCATGTTCATTCTGCTTCATCATTTTTTAAACAGCTAAATATATAGCTGAATTTTGCTCGACGTTCTTTGTTTATATGAATCGTCCATTGCTATTCTTTCTTTATATGTTAATATAGAACGAAAAAGATTCATCTTGTTGAATAAGTTCTTATTCATATGCCAAAACTGGATTCATTTCAGTTTTATATTTGTACAAAATTTCCACTTCTAATACAAACCAATTGTTATCAAATAATGATATTCAAAAGACATTTATGGATTGGAAATATTCTTTTCCTATATTTATACTACAATAGTCAAAAATGACTCGTATTACTGATGTTGCTAATTGTTTTCTTGATAAACATTTTCGGTTTTGTTAACGATTTGAAATTGTACAATATATATTCATTTGAACATGATTTCTTTGAATCAACTGCTAGAACATTTCCCTTCACAATTTGACACTACAAGAAAATAAATGTAGAATTAAAATAATTAATTCACATTTAACTAGACTCAATCTAATTGATATACACATTGATTATACTCTTCAATTTTTATATCGTACAAACACATATTTTCCGAATCTTAACACATTGATTAGACAATATGAACAATTGGTAAATGTGACGAACTATTTTTTTCAGAACAATGAGATACATACAGCATATAAAAAAGAAAAATTCTTCAAATTTATTCAAGTCAATATCAAATTGATCGTTGCTTTTTATTGATTCGTGTCAATGTTTGATTGTGAGTGCAATATTATTTTTTGTTGAAAAGTCAAATATTTGACTGACATTCATTGATGATTTTTAACAATCGAACTCCGACTTCACTATCAATCTTAGTCAAATAAACCAAAATCAAGATCATCGTCTTCTGATAATGGCTGATCATGCAATTGTACAAAAGTAGTCAATGCCGTTGGATTAGGCCATATATGATCATAGGGAATTTGATGAATATTAATGAGATGTGCACAAAGACACTTGAGTCGTGAAGGTGTCTGTTTTGATCGTAAAAGAGTACGTATGCCAATACCAGATGATTGATCAAGAGGTGTTTTTCCATAGTTATTAACATAATCGATGTGAGTACCTGCATCGAGAAGCAGTTCTATTATCTTCGTTGCAGTTCCTTGAACATTTTTGCGAAAATTACGAGAAACGATGTGTAGTGCAGTGTCACCACGATCTTGATCCTTAGCGTCCACATCGATCCATCGTTTTCCGTACTCAAGAAGAAGTTGAGTAGAATCCAGATTGGGAAACCTACGAAGAAGAAAATTAATAGTCGAACAACATGTTGTGATTACTTACGAAATAGCTGAAGTGATGTCATTTCTTCCTTTATTATCAGTAGCGTAGTATATTTGGTCATCAACACTCAAATGTAATAAATTTAATCCTTGTGTCGTTGTGTATTGCTTTTGACATAACTTTTTGATCCATCGAATGATGGATCGACGATCTTCATTACTGACTGTTGATTGTTGGAGAACCTGAAATAGTATTCGACACGCGAATAGTGAGATATATTTATTTTGATTTTATCTTAATTTGATCGACGATCTATCTCAAATTTCATATAAGAAAGAAAAGTGAATAATAAATTCGATTTTTCGAGTTTGAACTACGCTTATTATTTTCTTTCAATTTATCTGAAGTTTTAATAAAATTTTCAAAAATGAATCAATAGAAGAATTTTAAACGATCATTTTCATTAAAAACGAATAATAACCAGTCTTTCCGTCGATTCCTCTACTATTTTAGTAACATCATCGCTTCGTAGATTTTTATTTTAGCAAGATTGTGCTAGGAGTTCCTTCCTTATGCGTAATACATCTAAGTTCTTTATTTCCTAGGTGATTATTACTATTGCTAAGCATCTATCATACCTTTGCTGCAATTGCTACTAGATATAAGGCATTTTTGATCAATCTATCAATTGATTTATCATGTGAGGGTTCGACAATAAGATGACATATCTGCAAGAATTGATCGACAGGAATTGATATTTGACCAGTGATCATCTTACAGTATATCCATATGAAACGGTGAAGAATAGTCGTCAGCTTCGTTGGTTTATCCAAATGAAAGAGACGAGAATACAGATGAAGAGAACAATCGAACTGATTTCTTTCGATACACATGTCACCATGTTGAAGTAATAGTCGGAATAATCTCTCTTCTTCCTTTCGGATGAAGAAGATTCGTTCACAAATAAGCAGTGCTTCGACACATAAACGATCATCATCATATTGAATTTGGTCAAGTTCATCAAGTGTTTGACATTCTTTCTGGAAATTATAGGCAACGATCGGTTGAGCCACTGTTTTCGGTACATGAAAGTAGGAACGTTGTTCAAGTGATTTCTTCAAAAGGCGTACCATATGCTGACGTTCATGGAGTGTGATAACATCATTGGAGACCATATATGACGAAGCAATAAGTTCAAGGTTATCAAAAGTTGTCTCATCGTGAGTGTATTCGAGTAAGAAATCGATCGCTTCAAATGCACCGTGCTCGGCTACTAATATTATGGGTGTTTTTCCGTCACAATTTTTAGCAGTGGCAGATGCACCTGCCCAACACAACAGTTGTATTACTTCCAAATGATCTTCCCTAGCGGCGGTAGTCAGTGCTGTGTCTTGTCCAATGTGTGTCATATATTCAATATCAGCACCTTTCTCAAGAAGATAAGCGACAATATTTTGGTGGCCATAATGAGCAGATAGAATCAGACTACTGAATTTGTTCTCATCGTTTGTGACTGTTTGATTGACGTCAGCATATCCATTGTCTACTAAGAATTGAACAATGTCAAGCCGTCCTCTCCTAGAAGCATCGATTAGCAATGGATAATATGGACCATGATTGACATCAGCTCCACCCAAATCAATCAGAGTATGTGCCACAATGAAGTGACCACGGTCAAGAGCACACCATAATGCGGTTACACGTTTTACGAGAGCTCCTTCAGAATCGTACATAGATCCCTCGAGTTCGATTGCAGTAGGAGAATGAATAAGTATCAGACGTACCACCTCATCATGTCCATGGAGAGCGGCCAACATCAGTAGACTGAAGTGTTCGTTGTGTTGTTGAATTATGGTTATAAGCAGATCGGAAATATCGGAGAGTATTTGAAGATATTGATCGAGCTCAAGTGATCTACCGTCGCGAACATATTCACAGAGTCCTTGTTCTATGTCAAAATCGTTTTCAGCCATTAATGTGTTCTTTGTTTGATGCAAGCTACCTGTCTGATAAGTGAGCAACTCGACTCATTCGGAATTTATTCTTTTTAATATAGAGATATCAAGCGAGCGAATTATGAAATTACAAATATGACACAAATGTATTGACGAAATTACAGGTAAAATACACACGTATTGATGAAATTACTGACACGACACTTTTATTGACAACATGACTCAACATTATTGAGAAGAACGCAAATGACAAATTCGAATAGTATTAGAGGAATTTATGAAGACAAACAATACATTTTTATTTTGTACCCACTGCCATCCGAAGATCCTCTCAGTAAAAGATTATAAGAAAAAGAGAGAATGTGAGAAAGAAATAAAGTAACACGAAAGAAAGAAAATGTATAGATAAGAATAAGTTAACACAAAGTAAAATTATATCAACAAGACAACTATGAGAACACACGAAGGAGAAGACAGAACAAACAAAATACACATAAGGACGACAAACGGTACGTCACACACAGAGAGAAAAGATTCAGAAAAATTTTGAAGAAGTTAAACTTCACTTATATGGCAATAAGGAACTGAGAAGCCCGAGGCAAACATATACCTAATTGACTAGCCATTATGGTGGCTAGATATTCTGCAAAAAAGTGGCTGAAACATCAGGGTAGAAATTGACCTATTACTTCTAGATGAATCCGCCCGAGAAAGGGCGAATCCG